TTATTATTCGAGTTACCCGACCACGGTAAAGCAAAAACCAGTATTATCGTTTTGTTTGGTGTAGTTGTAGTGAATAGCTGCAATGAAGTTTATAGAATCATAATTATCTTAAAAAGACGGATCGAACTATAAAGAATGAAAAAAAAATCAATTAAAAATTCAATTAAAAACCCTGGCAGAACGTTTGAAAGATGAAATAAAAATACGTGTATCGTGATTAGCGCCAGTAACTGAACCGATGCAGGCGAGCAAGGCGAGTAGCGTCAAGTTATTTCATGCATGTATCGGTATGTCGGCGCCGCGTCCCGCCACGCCACGCCGCGCCGGACGGGGAACGTTTGCGGGCACCGTTACCGGTTTCGTGGCTACGTGACTGTGGCCGGAAAATCGTTTTAAAAACTGATACATTTTCCGCTCAGTGCCAGCCGGTGATATAGTTGCAATCATCATATTTAAAAATGAAAATGTACCTGCTTATTTGGTTTAAAAAAAGTTTAAAATAAAAACTCTATACGAGTACACTACATTTATCCCAGAAAATGCGATAACAACTCATGCATGTTTTAAATAATCCACCGAACAGAACACATGAAATGAAAATTTCATTTTAATATCGAGAACACCGATCCAAAAACAATCACTACCTGACCGAATTCACCCAAATTGATTCCGAGTATCGGAACAAATCCAATACATTATAAACATGAATATAATTGCTATAATACCATTTATTCGGAAATGTAAATATCGAGTGTGTATAATATTATTTACTGGAATTGATAAACGTACCTTTGATATGAAAACAAATATTCTCATTAAAGAATCATTTGATATACAAAGGTAACAGGATCTTTTGTTCCCGAAATAGGGAGGTTGACTAATTAACAATATCTTGTATAATCTGTGGCTGACAAATCAGGGCGGCGGCGGTGTGGGCGCGTACTGGAAATACTCTCGCTACCAATCGGCACGTCTATTGTGTACATGCTCAGTGAAACAATACGGTCGATGACAAACCGAGAGCGGGAAGCGGGACATACGAAAACAAGAAACATTCATATACAAAAAAACTTTATATTATGCCACTACTTTAGTTTTGATTAGGTACTTCCACATAGATCCTCGCCGCGTCTGTCTGTTTTGTTAGTGTGTTTGGTAGTGATAAGCAGAAAACTAATAAACCGATTTCCAAGCTGTTTCCACCAGTAGATAGAGAGTGATTGTGAAAAAAGTCAAATAACAAACGTAGTTTCAATAACAAACTTCATTGAATGAATGATTTAGTTTGCTTTGCCTTGATTCATCACATTTACATTGACTATTTACTAAAGGTAACCAAGTTCCAAGAAGCCATAACTCTCGAACCTCTATGAATGGAGCCGCACCTCACCTCAGTGTTCGCAGCGCCACAAATGGCTTTCCAATAATCCGGGCTTTGACGCGGCTCTAACAGACCCTCAAATTAGCACTCCGCAGCTTCCTACTATTGTCCAACGTCCTGACCAACTCTCTTTAATATTGACGCCTTAGTATTTGTTATTTTCATTTGGCTTTGAAGTTTTTTGATTACAAATGTAAAATGGTCTTTATTTATTAAGATTGGAAGATTAATTAGCTTTTATGTAAAAAAAATTCACATTTACATAAGGCACACATACACCCGAACAATGAAAGGCTACGAAATTTTAATTTATATTTAAATATCGTGCTATTCTTGTTTACAAAGAATTTCATCATCATCAGCCCGTATTCGTCCACTGCTGGACATAGGCGTTTCCAATGGCACGCCACTAAGCTCGGTCTTCAGCTCTTCTCATCCAACCACTGCCAGCCACCTTGCGGATGCCGTTATTCCACCTAGCTGGCTGCCCTACACTGCGTTTGCCTAGACGTCTCCACTGTAGAACACGTTTACCCCATCGGTTATCGGTTTTTCAACAAATGTGACCGTCCCACTGCCACTTCAGCTTACCGATCCTACAGAACTATGCTTAAACGCGACTTCAAATTGGGTAGCGTTTCAGTATCCAGTATTATTATTAGGTACGGGGGCAAATGAGCACACTGGTCACTTCAAGGCAAGCAATTAACGCCGTCCATGGACATCCGCTACACCATATAAATTACAAATGCTTTATCAGCCTTTTGGAAATGACTTAAGGAGTTACCAGAGCTCCGGCTCGAAGCAGGGGTAGAAACGGAGTGGTTTTTAGTCAGTAAGAGTCTGACATTCCCTCTCGCCTTTCCCATGCCAGAATTTACTTAATTGGATGATTTTCTAAACTAAGTAAAAATACCGACTTTCACCCCCTTTTTTTTAAGTTCATATTTTGAAAACTTTCTACACAGTTATTTGAAAATCGCATCAAAATAGGTTTAGCCAGTCGTGAGATCGAATGAATCGCGCACGTAAACACGTACAGAGTATACTGAAAAACAATTTTTTTTAATTTGGATTAGAAGGGAATTGGTTCTCTAATTTTATGAATCTGCATGTCACAGAATTCATAGTCTTGTCAACTATGTTCCCAAGACTGTACACCACGACACTGCCACTGACATAATGTAGACATATTGTAATCAAACATAAGCTGTATTCAAGCAGACAGTGTAGCCGCGGATCAATTCCGTGGCGCGTCACTTCCGCGCGGAATAATTTATAGCGGGGAGCGGATCGATGGACGCGACGAGATCTGAGCGGTGCTCGCAACAGGTGAGCGAATTGTGATGAGGTTAGGATAGATGGTACGTGAAATTAGTGTGTATGTTGGTATTTAGTTAGAATGGCTATACAGCATAGACTGACTGCAGGTTTGGCGGGAGATTGTTGCGCAACATGTTGCGAAATCATTTCCTGATAAAATTGATGTTAAGACGTTAAGACGCCCGCTTCTCAGACAGAACATGTGCGAAAAAGTGTTTGTAATCTCATCCTCGACAAAGAGAAATCCCAAACGTGATAGTTTGTCAAAAAATATTAAAATCTGAGGTCTTAGTAAGAGTTTATTCAAGTTTAAGGAAATCGAAACGAGACCGCGTTTGACGCTCTGATTAGCCGGCTGCAATGAACAAACCAATCTCGATAATAACTTGCATTTAAACTACGTCTCATGTCAAAGTCGAAGTGAATTAGCATCAATGCATCATTTTCTATTCTTCCTTTAAATTGAAGGATCTGCTATCTTCCAAGTCTCCTTTATAGATATTCACAAATTCCTATAAAACTACTCCGCTGTCGCTTACAACATACACCGCAACAAACACAATATACGCGAAATACCAATATGTAACGCTATCCAGACTTCCTTCCGACACACACGCCCCACAAACGACACATGTCAATGTACCACACACGGGAAAATAAACCTTATGACATATGACTTACAGTTGCACATTCAAAATGATATTATTTGTACATAACATTGTATGATAGATGTTATAGGGGCGCTTTTTGTTTGTTGCATTAAGTTATTACATTTCGGTCAATGTGCTGAAACAAAAGCTACGTGATATCTGCGTGGTTTTCTATAGAACCTGTATTGGGGAGGCCTTGAATCAATATAACTACATCAATTATTACTAAATTTAAATAATGAAAAATGTATTTTTCCTATAATTTCTCATCTCATAACATCAGAAGAACACCATAGATATCTTGAGTCTTTACGGCTCACCATTATGAACCCAAAAGAGCGTCTAAATAACAGTCAAATATAAATCCAATCCTAATCGCATTTAAGTCGACAATGGCTAATTCATCAAAACAATTACATCAAAAAAGAAAATATTTCCTAGAAAATGGCGTACAACTCCCGACGGAACCGGATTGCGTCAACACAAATCAACTTACAAACTCGGCAAGACCTTTCGTAACCCGAAAAAATCTTTGAATTAAGTAATTTCCCTATTTTGTGAACAAAGGGTAATAAAGTGCTCGGAACTCTTACAAAAGACGGTGGCTAGGTGGATGGGGGGTAGGGACGGGGGGACGGGGGAGGGGTGTCAGCGATACCCTCGCGCACTTAAGATGGTGTATTGTTACCAGTAGGGTTCGTGGGGGGATAGAGTGGAATGCGCAGATGCGATACACCGATAAACGATATTGGTTTTTACCTATACGATAATAACACAAAATACTGACAACACTGCTTTTTTAAAATATTTGATGGACCAACGTTTGACCACTATCTGGCCCGGTGGTAAACGATGATTACCTAAACATTCATCAATGCCTAGTATGCGTACTATAGAGTTTGAACGTCATTAGAACAATAAAGCGACCAGCAATCATACTACAGAATTAACATAGTAAACTTTTTAAAGAGATTCTAGTAACAAAAAATTTTAACAAGATAAACAAACGGCCTCCCAGAGGCTCCACCAACATAGGTACAAAACTCCATACAAAAGTTATAGTACTTAGTCTTTGCCGAATCTTGGGTAAGGAGGGTAAGCACTTTATGGACATCCACAGGTGGTTAACCATTTTAGCGGCGATATTGTTATGCGGCATATTAGAGGCTTGAGCCTTAAAAAGGTTCCAAGTGAAGACGGACTCGGGATAAATACTGGTTTTGTATTCTAAGTAGGTTTTGTTTTTTGTTTCTTGTATTTTAGTTTAACGAGGGATATTGTATTGTAATGTGTAAGTTTGTATGTTTTTCGTAAAATAGTAAGTAACGTTAAAGGGTTGACGCTTTAATGTATTCTATTGATACTGTTGTCGATAATACTATTGATGATACAAAATAACTTCTGTTTTTGTGTCATATGTATTTTCTAACGTAGAATTATTAAAAGTTTTAAATAAGGTAACTGCTGTGTTGACCTTCTCTTTTACTTCCATAAGCTATAACTATCGCACGTTTTAACCTAAAATTGTTCTGATAGTACTTACTTCACTACTTACTTCGATCAACATAGACCACGTTTGATATGAACATTTTACATACAAATTATAAATACAATATGTAAGTTTAGAACAAATGTATGTAACTGACCTTGATCGGGTTTGTCGACCTTGTTGGGCGTGAGTCTGCGGTCGAGCGCGGCGGCGGCGGGCTGCTTGGGACTGTTCCGCTTGGAGCTGGAGCGGGATATCACCAGCGACTGCGGGATCTGGACACATACTTATACTGTACTTCGGGAATAACGGGTACAACTTATTTTATACACGGTTAAGGGTAAAAAGAAGTCTTTTACATAGTCTATGGAATCATATTTTATATGCTGTTTATGCCCCAGACGGGAGGCGCGCGATGGTGACGTCGGCGGAGTCAGTTACAAGTGTGTGTGTACGTACGAGTTTGTCGGAGCGGTCCCCGGACGGGAGGCGCGCGATGGTGACGTCGGCGGAGTCAGTTACAAGTGTGTGTACGTACGAGTTTGTCGGAGCGGTCCCCGGACGGGAGGCGCGCGATGGTGACGTCGGCGGAGTCAGTTACAAGTGTGTGTACGTACGAGTTTGTCGGAGCGGTCCCCGGACGGGAGGCGCGCGATGGTGACGTCGGCGGAGTCAGTTACAAGTGTGTGTACGTACGAGTTTGTCGGAGCGGTCCCCGGACGGGAGGCGCGCGATGGTGACGTCGGCGGAGTCAGTTACAAGTGTGTGTACGTACGAGTTTGTCGGAGCGGTCCCCGGACGGGAGGCGCGCGATGGTGACGTCGGCGGAGTCAGTTACAAGTGTGTGTACGTACGAGTTTGTCGGAGCGGTCCCCGGACGGGAGGCGCGCGATGGTGACGTCGGCGGAGTCAGTTACAAGTGTGTGTACGTACGAGTTTGTCGGAGCGGTCCCCGGACGGGAGGCGCGCGATGGTGACGTCGGCGGAGTCAGTTACAAGTGTGTGTACGTACGAGTTTGTCGGAGCGGTCCCCGGACGGGAGGCGCGCGATGGTGACGTCGGCGGAGTCAGTTACAAGTGTGTGTACGTACGAGTTTGTCGGAGCGGTCCCCGGACGGGAGGCGCGCGATGGTGACGTCGGCGGAGTCAGTTACAAGTGTGTGTACGTACGAGTTTGTCGGAGCGGTCCCCGGACGGGAGGCGCGCGATGGTGACGTCGGCGGAGTCAGTTACAAGTGTGTGTACGTACGAGTTTGTCGGAGCGGTCCCCGGACGGGAGGCGCGCGATGGTGACGTCGGCGGAGTCAGTTACAAGTGTGTGTACGTACGAGTTTGTCGGAGCGGTCCCCGGACGGGAGGCGCGCGATGGTGACGTCGGCGGAGTCAGTTACAAGTGTGTGTACGTACGAGTTTGTCGGAGCGGTCCCCGGACGGGAGGCGCGCGATGGTGACGTCGGCGGAGTCAGTTACAAGTGTGTGTACGTACGAGTTTGTCGGAGCGGTCCCCGGACGGGAGGCGCGCGATGGTGACGTCGGCGGAGTCAGTTACAAGTGTGTGTACGTACGAGTTTGTCGGAGCGGTCCCCGGACGGGAGGCGCGCGATGGTGACGTCGGCGGAGTCAGTTACAAGTGTGTGTACGTACGAGTTTGTCGGAGCGGTCCCCGGACGGGAGGCGCGCGATGGTGACGTCGGCGGAGTCAGTTACAAGTGTGTGTACGTACGAGTTTGTCGGAGCGGTCCCCGGACGGGAGGCGCGCGATGGTGACGTCGGCGGAGTCAGTTACAAGTGTGTGTACGTACGAGTTTGTCGGAGCGGTCCCCGGACGGGAGGCGCGCGATGGTGACGTCGGCGGAGTCAGTTACAAGTGTGTGTACGTACGAGTTTGTCGGAGCGGTCCCCGGACGGGAGGCGCGCGATGGTGACGTCGGCGGAGTCAGTTACAAGTGTGTGTACGTACGAGTTTGTCGGAGCGGTCCCCGGACGGGAGGCGCGCGATGGTGACGTCGGCGGAGTCAGTTACAAGTGTGTGTACGTACGAGTTTGTCGGAGCGGTCCCCGGACGGGAGGCGCGCGATGGTGACGTCGGCGGAGTCAGTTACAAGTGTGTGTACGTACGAGTTTGTCGGAGCGGTCCCCGGACGGGAGGCGCGCGATGGTGACGTCGGCGGAGTCAGTTACAAGTGTGTGTACGTACGAGTTTGTCGGAGCGGTCCCCGGACGGGAGGCGCGCGATGGTGACGTCGGCGGAGTCAGTTACAAGTGTGTGTACGTACGAGTTTGTCGGAGCGGTCCCCGGACGGGAGGCGCGCGATGGTGACGTCGGCGGAGTCAGTTACAAGTGTGTGTACGTACGAGTTTGTCGGAGCGGTCCCCGGACGGGAGGCGCGCGATGGTGACGTCGGCGGAGTCAGTTACAAGTGTGTGTACGTACGAGTTTGTCGGAGCGGTCCCCGGACGGGAGGCGCGCGATGGTGACGTCGGCGGAGTCAGTTACAAGTGTGTGTACGTACGAGTTTGTCGGAGCGGTCCCCGGACGGGAGGCGCGCGATGGTGACGTCGGCGGAGTCAGTTACAAGTGTGTGTACGTACGAGTTTGTCGGAGCGGTCCCCGGACGGGAGGCGCGCGATGGTGACGTCGGCGGAGTCAGTTACAAGTGTGTGTACGTACGAGTTTGTCGGAGCGGTCCCCGGACGGGAGGCGCGCGATGGTGACGTCGGCGGAGTCAGTTACAAGTGTGTGTACGTACGAGTTTGTCGGAGCGGTCCCCGGACGGGAGGCGCGCGATGGTGACGTCGGCGGAGTCCTCTGGCGGCGGCGGTTGCTGCAGCCAGTTGTACTCGCGCTTGTCGACCGGCACGCCGCGCCGCTCGTAGTCCTGCGCCTGTGTCCTGTGCGACGACAAGCCATTTATTTCAACTAATCCTTCATTACGCACTTTTAAAACGTCAAACATTCAATTGTCCGTCCGTCTGTCCGTCAGTGAAGCTAGGCGCTTGTTCCAAAGTGTAGTTTCGAATGGAGAAGAGCGAGCAAGAACCTCCATCGTTACTCTTTTATTTTTTTACTTTTTACAATGTCATTAATTCACTATCTAATCCTTTACCTACTGTATATACAGGGTGACTTGTAACTTAGGAGATCCTAAGAGGGATACGTCGAAAATTAGTAGGAAATTAGTTGTATCATCATCTGATAATACAACTAATTTCCTACAAAATTAGCCCTGAGGTCTCTGGTCCGAAAGTGGCTAGTTACTGAGATATTCAACATTTTTGGTTTTGGTGAAAAATCCCGATTGAACTATAAAAACATCAATACATAAAAAAGTACTGGTGTGATTTAAGTGATTTTGGTTTTAATTTGTTGTCAGTACATCAATTAGGTAACATTTATTGATACTAATATTGGCAGAAATATGATTCGTTTTAAAAAAGCAAGTAAATTAATATGAAATTTTGTTTTGAGTCACTAATTTGGTCAATGAAAAATGCATTTAGCTTAAAAAATTGATATTACACTAAGCATACAAATTATTAGAAAAACTTCCTTGGTTTATTGGGTACCCAAAAACATTGAATTATTTATAAAATTCTCCAAAATGAATGAATAACTTGATGATAAGTTAGTGTAAAGGAAACGGGTAATTTCAAAAACATCATTATTTAGAAAATTTTGATCAAAGTGACCTTTCCTATGATGAATACATACTCGCACACGCTTCCTTACTCCTCTGTGAAGGTCACTTTTAAACTGAATAAGCGTCTTATTTCTTTAGCCGCTTCAATTATTTTTCCGCCAAGGATTTTGATAGACGGAATTGGCATTGCATAAGCAAGGAACTTCATGTGCCCCACACGTAAAAATCAACCTGTGTTAGGCCTGGACATGGTGCGGTCACATTGAACAATTTTTTGTAAATAATGATTTTTGTGAAATTGTGCGTTTTCCTTTACACTTTACTTATCATGAAGTTATTCATTCATTTTTCAGAATTTTGTGAATAATTGAATGTTTTTGGGTACCCAATAAACCAAGGAAGTTTTTTCTAATAGTTTATACGCTAAGTATAACATCAATTTTTTAAGCTAAATGCAGTTTTCCATTGACGAAATTAGTGACTCGAAACAAAATTTGATACTAATTTACTTGCTATTTTAAAACGTATCATATTTCTGCCAATATTAGTATTAATAAATGTTTATTGATGTATTGACAACAAATTAAAACTAAAATCACTTGAATCAAACCAGTAGTTTTCTATTTATTAATGTTTTTATAGTTCGATCGGGATTTTTCACCGAAACCAAAAATGTTGAATATCTCAGTAACTAGCCACTTTCGGACCAGAGACCTCAGGACTAATTTTGTAGGAAATTAGTTGTATTATCACCTCCTAAGAGGAATACGTCGAGTTACAAGTCACCCTGTATATGTAAGAACGATATAACGACTAAATGTACACATAGATTTATTAAACATACTGTTTATATCATGTCTTTCTACCAACTATTCTCATCCGTCTCTTGACCAACCTACATCGATAGTCAATATTATACATGAGCAAATTTCACTATATACCGATTATGAAAAGTAAACAATGGATTAGAAAAGATATCTCCACGTTCTAAAGCGTAAATTCAATTAAAAAAGCCACTAAAAACATAAATATCATTATTTTATCTTAAAATATTCGTTCATATTTACCGTTCACTACTAAGTGATGAAAAAGTTGACACAAAGTTTATACATGGTATGTATGTATGTCTTTTTTTTAAGGGGGGAAAATCATCGAATGACTGCTCCCGCCTGGGTGAGGCGGTAGGGAGTGTCAGACTCTTACTGACTAAAAACCACCCCGTTCCTTCTCCTGCACGTCGAGCCGGAGCCCCGGTAACTTGTTAGGTTCTCCGCGACTCCGAATCGGCATCGGCCCTATTGGGCCCCATCTGTGGTGGTCTGATGGCTCTTTGAGGCGCGCGCGGAACGCGACGCGCCGTACGCTATGTATGTATGCCTGGGATAACATTTTTATGGTAGAGGAGGCAAACGGGTAGACGTATCACCTGATGGTAAGCGATTAGTCCGTTGCCAGCCTTTTAAAAGGGAATACTCTCTTTTCTTGGAGGTTTGAAGGTCGTATCGGTTCGGTAATACCGCCGAAGGCATTGGCAGCTTAACGTGATTTTCCAAAAACTTCATAAGATCTAGATAAACATGTAAAATAAAATGTTACTAACCTTAAACTTTCATAACAATCTAAACATACTACAGCATAATCGCCATTTTCTAATAATAATGAATTTTCAGTCCGCCTTTGCACTAAGAATGGGAATTCCTGGAACAAACATATTGCTTTAGTATATTTGTGTTCAACAATGAGTTTCAATACAACTTTCCTGAAGTACAAAGATACATATTTACATATATAACCTCACGCCTGTCTCATGGGGGTGGATTTTTTTCCCGGAGTCTAGATATACAATATATACTAGATATCTTAGTTTAAACTAGTCATTAAGTATATAGCCTCGCGATCGTGAGATATATTTAACATAGGGTACCATTTTGTCATACTATTCACGTAATGCTAACAACAGTGTGACAATATCCCTATAAGAAACAGTATAGCACAAATCCACATACATTTTATTGCGATGTAACAATGTCTTTTTTATCTTGTAGATACTTTTTTATGGGATAAACCGGTAAACAAGCAGGCTGATCACCTGATGGTAAGCAATCGGCGTCGCCCAATGGACACCTGGAACACCAGACGTACGTATAACGTACTTATAACGCCTCTTGCGATTAGGAATTTGAGGATTTTTGGGAATTCATGGATTGGGAAAGAGGGGAGGGGTAATTGGGCCTCTGGTAACCTCACTCACACGACGAAACACAACGTAAGCGTTGTTTTACGGCGGTCTTCCGTGAGGCCATAGTATAACTTTGGTGGCAACATAACATAACATCACGTCTTTTATCCCCGAAGGGGTAGGCAGAAGTGCACACAGAAGTAACACCCACTTTTCACTATTTATGTTATGAGCCCCATGTAATAGGGGGTGAGAGTATTACCATATATGTGGTGGCGAATACTAAAAAAATGTCTTTAAGTCAGTGTACTGATTAACAGCGTCTTTAATATTAGTATGTGTCAATACTTACTTTAATAGGTAGCGCCCTAACTCGTTTCCTGTAGGTCTTGATGCCACAGAGGTGACAGTGGTAGTCGTGGGTATTGTACACGCGTCGCTCCGGAGGATACCCGCCTAACGTTTCGTACCTGCACAAACAAATAATAATATTATAATGTATACGCAACTTATGATTATCAGCACAAACATAAAGATCTCTTAGTCAAGTTGTATGACACAATATTATCTTTCTATATTTGCATATAATACAAAAACTTTACTTTATACTTATTGAGTTTTGTAACTTGTAATGCTGTCTTGGTAATGACCAATTCAGTATTTGATCGTGCAAAGCATTAGAATCAATTTTCTCAGTAGTAGAACGAAAGTCCAGCGTCATTTAAAAAAAAGTGGTGGATCCAAGTAACTCCAAATAAGGAAAAGAAGAAAGATAACATAATACAACATCACGACGTTCATCCCTGAAGGGGTAGGCAGAGGTGCACATTACGGCACTTAATGCCACTGTACAATGTAACTCCAAATTTTCACTATTTATGTTATTAGTCCCATGTAATAGGGGGTGAACCTATTGCCATATACCGAGCACAATTCCAGACTCCGTGCTACTACTAAGAATTAAAAAAACCCGGTAATACTTTGCCCACACCGGGAATCTAACCCGAGACCCCTTGCCCGGCAGGCACACTTGCGACCACTCGGTTAACGAGGCAGATTAATAAATAATTCCTAACCAATGAATAACCTATATGAACAAGTATGGATAATACTGACCTCCTCCACTGACTAAGTAATGAGTGGTAACAGAAGGTACAGACTAGTGCGGACCCGTCCTCGCGTAACTGCTCCGCGTTTGGATGGCTCTGTAGGGAGACAAACATATTATTAGTATTACAGTATTATTACATAACGGTTTTATGATTTACGTATTATAGGTGGCAGTAGTAGGATGTCTTTTTTGTTAACTCTCATTATTATAAGGTAAGTTAAACCAGGCGACTCGGCAAACTTCGTTCCGCATAAAACATTTTGTCTCACATTTTAAACCTTCCCTGAACTCCCACGAACATTTCAAGACTAAAATTAGCCAAATCGGTTCAGCCGTTCTCGAGTTTTAGCACGACTAATAAATAATACATTATGTCGAATGACTTATCATCACAGAAATATTATACCTGACATCTATAAAAATGAAACTCGTTTCCCGTTGTCACGCCATAACTTGAAAGCGGCTTGACCGATTTGGCAGATTTTTTATTTGTGGTGTTTATTATTGTAAGGAGAAGGTTCTTATAACAGAAAAATGTCCTGTAAATCCTACGGGAACGGGAAAAAACAGGATTGCGCGTATGAAGTCGCGGGCAGACGCTAGTATAGGATAATTATGCTAAACTTCAATAATAACAATAACACGTTATTTAACAACTAGTCAATCTCAATAATTCTTCTAAAATGATATTCTTCTGCTAATTTTATATCATATTTGACTGCACGGTTAGTGCTGTGGCTGGGCAACCGGCTGCCGTGCAACGTGTCGCGGGTTCGATTCCCGCACGGAACAACACTTTGTGTGATCCACAAATTGTTGTTTCGGGTCTGGGTGTCATTGTGTATGTGAACTTGTATGTTTGTAAACGCACCCATGACACAGGAGATAATCCTAGTGCGGGGCAACGTTTTAAAAAAAAAATACGCCTAAATATGGAAACGCTACTTATTTTGAAATTGTACTTAAATATCGCGCCATCTCTGGCATTTTATAAAGAATTTGTAGTAACAGAACTATAGTTAAGCGCGACTCAAAATTCAAAGCGTTTAACCCTTAACATCATGCCTTTTATCCCCGAAGGGTTAGGAAGAGGTGCACATTACGTCACTTAATGCCACTGTACAATGTCACACCCACTTTTCACCATTTATGTTATGAGTCCTATGTAATAGTTGTGAGTGGCGTGTGAGTATTTAGACAATAATGTCTTGAACTACAACTTTAAATAATTCTAGATGAAATCAAGAAATACCAGCTAAGACAATTATGTTTTAAAATTAAAAAGAAAAAGTATTGTAGATACATAAATCATATCATTTATCACAGTAATCCAAGAAATAATGACAAAAAAGTTCAGTTAATTATAATGCAGATATACAATCGTAAACAAACATCAATACATCATTGTGATACAAAGAAAGATTATGAAATAAACCCTTTACTTAAGATTTATATCTTGAAATGACGTAAATAAAGGATCATTAGATTATTATAATGATCTTAGCGATGAATCCTGTTATTACAGGATCATATTATATTAATGCAGCAAATAATAATATTATCAAGAGATTATTTTTTTAACAATTTTAAGTATGTAATGAAAGTGTGACTGTCCTGAAGCTTGGACTGATTGATTGTGTAGAGTAAAAATTTATTGGCTTTTGGGTTTTACAGTATGAAATCTGTAGTACGCAAGGCCCTATTAAATTATTAATAGGGTCGTCCGTATTATTAAAATAGTTATACCATGCAGGGAGTTAACACTCCAGAATTCGGATTAAAATTCCCAGATTACACATTACGTTTATAGACCTCTAGCATTTACCAGCGGCTTTGCCCGTGTCCTGTGGCATAAAAAGTGGCCTGTGTTACTCCAAACCATAATCTAACCCCGTTCCAAATTTCATCTCAATCCCTTCAGCCGTTTTTGACGTGAAAGAATAATAAACACACATCTTCGCAAAGTTTCGCATTTATAATATTATAGTAAAAAGTAAGATATATTGAGTTTTAGTAACTCTTGTATGTTAGTTTTTTGTGGTTTTACAATTGGGTACTTGCCAACGAGTCAAATTCAATACTTTTTTCGAACTCTCAAAAACGACAGTTTTCTACGAATTTTGTACGAGATTGTCTATTGTGACGTCACGTATTTTTAAAGTCAAACAGCGTACTTATTTCTTAAAAATTTGCTGCAAAAATACTAAAATTAAATTTGCATAAAGTCAATCAAAAAAAGTGTAATTACTTTTTAACATTATATTGTATTGAACAGTCTGAATAATTTACTTTTGACTAAGAAGAGTATGCAATTAGTTATTGCTTGGAAAATTCACAGTATTGTACGTTATCTTCTAAAATATCTGTATCATTGTAAAAGTATTGTAAAACTAGTTTATTATGTTACCTGGTGTGTAAGCAGACAAGGGAAGTATGGCGCGTTGCCCTGCGGCTGTCCATAGAGGATGCGGCCCAACGTGAAGTCAGAGTGCAGGCCGCACAGGAAACAGTATATTGATGTACAGGCTGCAACAATGTTTTACACTCAGCACTAGCTCATCATCACATCAGAAACAAGATACAATAGAGGCCTCAAAGTCAAATGCAATTAATTAAGCACTTTTCAAACGTCAACGTTTCAGATCCCCAAATCGACCACTTGGTAGTTCCAAGTGGTCGATTTGAACACACTAGTTTTTTTTTTTTTGAGAATATGGCGGCAAACCAGCACATGGTATTATTGGTATTATATAACTTAGTACAAAATAAACGTTTAAGGAACCGGTTTGCTGCAAATCGAGGAAAGGCAATCTTACGCCCAGAAGCGAGTTTTAAAGCCGCAGACATAAGTATCCCTATATATATTTATAACGTAGCGAAGGGAGTGCCGGTGTGTGATATAAAGAATTACATTGCAGGTAAAACTGATGTTTCTGTTCATTTAGAAAAAATGAAAATGAAGATATCAAAGCCGTATGATGCCTACAAGGTTTTAGTACCTAAGCAGAAATTGGAAATCTTTCTAAATGATGATTTTTGGCCAGAGGGTGTTGCTTATAGACGTTTTGTAGACTTTAAAAATAAAAGCAACGGTAAAAATGTTGGAGAAAAATCGGTACGTGTGTAGTCTTAATGTTTCTCATGGATAATAACACTAAAATTGTCTCATTCAACTGTAAGAATATAGTGAGATCGGCGGAATGCGTACGAAAAATATGTGGATTAGCAGACATAATAGCATTACAGGAGACGTGGCTGTTGCCGCATGATATTCCATTCCTGGGCAGCATCAGCGATGATTTCGCGTTCACTGGCAAGTCTGCCGTGGATACGTCAGCTGGTGTGCTTCGCGGCCGCCCGTATGGAGGTGTGGCAGTGCTGTGGAGGAAGTCTGTGTTTCCCTCAGTTACAGTGTTGCAGTGCAATAGTGATCGTGTGGCGGCGATTAGGGTTGACATTGGTGAGTGTTCCATGCTAATTGTGTCTGTGTACATGCCTACGGATTCAAAAGACAATTTGATCGAGTTCACGGAGTGCCTCGGCGAAATAAATTCAATTGTTGAGAATAGTGACGTGGAATCTGTGTATGTGATGGGAGATTTCAACGCGCACCCGGGTGAGTTATTTGCTAACCAACTTTTAGACTTTTGTGCAGAACAGTTATGGGTATGTGTTGATCTTGACATGTTGCCGTGCGATTCACATACTTTTGTCAGTGAGGCGCACGGATGTCGCCGGTGGCTCGATCACTGCGTGGTCTCGAGCGCCGCACGTGGGACTGTCGATCGCGTGACTATACTGTACGATACATACTGGTCCGATCATTATCCTATACAGTTAACTTGTAATTTGAATTTGATAAAATCTAAAATTATTGTTAAACATATTTGTGAAAGTAAGGTAGTTTGGGGAGAGAGGAAAGACTGTCAAATTGAAAGTTACCACAAATTTTGTCATGACAAGTTGAGAGACATTGACTTTCCAGCGGATTGTGTTGCTTGTTGTGATAGGATGTGTACCTGTGTGAATCACAAAACAGTAATTAATGATATGTACAAAACTATTGTAAGTATATTGATTGCGGGCGCGGAGTACTCATATCGGGTGGCCTCAAAGCCGGGTAAGGGTAAGCACATAATTGGGTGGAACAGACACGTGAAAGATGCACACGGAAAAGCCCGGCATTGTTATCGGAATTGGGTATTGTATGGGAAACCTAGTTCTGGATGGTTATTCAATGAGATGACGAACTCAAGGCGATTATTTAAGGCAAAATTAAAATGGTGTCAAAATAATCAACATAAAATTAAAATGGATATGATAGCGCGACACCATTCTGATAATAACTTCTCAAAATTTTGGAAGGCAACAAACAGACTTAATGTTAAACCGAGCCGGCCCGTGAGCGTTCGAGGGGTGAATGATTCGGGTGATATTGCGAAGTTGTTTCGGCAGCATTTTAGGGTTGAACCGTTTTTGGGGCCTGCGCGATCTGGCCTGCCTTCGGTGTCCAGTGCTGAGGCTACATCACATGATATTAATTTGAGGTTTTCTGCGAAAGAAGTAAATGAAGTTATAAAATCCTTCAAAAGAGGAAAGTCGCCAGGACACGATGGCCTCAGCATTGAGCACCTGAGGCATGCCGGGGTACACTTGCCGAGGGTTCTGGCCTTGCTATTTAATCTTTGTGTCAGCCACTCCTACCTACCAGACGATCTCATGTTTACCATCGTTGTTCCTATTGTAAAAAATAAGACTGGTGACATCTCGGATGAGTCAAACTATAGGCCTATCTCGTTAGCAACGGTTATAGCAAAGGTGATGGACGGTCTGCTTGATAACCATCTAAATAGGCATATAAACCTACATGATGGCCAGTTTGGTTTTCGGGCTGGACTATCTACAGAGAGTGCTATCGTGTGTCTCAAGCAAACCGTACACTACTATACTGCACGGAGGACGCCTGTATACGCTTGTTTTCTGGATCTCTCACGGGCATTTGATATGGTCTCTTACGATCTATTGTGGGAAAAGATGCGACAAGACACTAGTTTGTGTCCTGAGGTTATATCAATATTCCAGTATTGGTATAATAATCAAAAAAATACTATTAGATGGGCTGATAGTACATCGGACGAATACAGGTTGGAGTGCGGGGTGAGGCAGGGGGGGCTGACCTCGCCTAAACTTTTTAACTTGTACATGGATCGCTTGATTGGGGAGCTGAGCAGCACAGGAGTTGGATGTCACATAGATGGCGTTTGCGTAAATAATATTAGTTATGCGGATGACATGGTGCTGCTCAGCCCATCAATCGGCGCGTTGCGAAGGCTGCTTCGTACGTGTGAAAGGTATGCGGAGGCTCATGGGCTCAGATACAACGTAAAGAAAAGCGAGGTTATGGTTTTTAAGGCATTAAAAAAGAATCTCTCAGACATACCACCTGTTTCACTCTATGGTACGCCTTTAAACCGAGTAGCTCATTTCAAGTATCTGGGCCACTGGGTTACCGATGACCTGAAGGACGATATGGACATTGCGAGAGAACGTAGGGCGTTGTGTGTCCGCTGTAATATGTTGGCTCGAAGGTTCGCTCGTTGTGCCCAAGAAGTGAAAGTAACACTATTTAGGGCATTCTGCCAAACATTTTATACATGCAGTTTGTGGGCTAAATACACGCAGGGGACATACAATGCCCTCCGGGTTCAGTACAACAACGCGTTCAGGGTGTTGATGGGGCTGCCGCGTTACTGTAGTGCGAGTGGCATGTTCGCGGAGGCGCATGTGGATGGATTCCATGCGATCATGCGTAAGCGTTGTGCATCAATGATGTCACGAGTGCGCGGTAGCCCTAGCGGCATGCTGGCCGCGTGTGCCGGACGCTGGGATTCGGTGCTGATGGCACACTGGATAAGCCTACACGTAAAAGCAAGTGCCTGACTTAATCATAAGTATGTATGTATATCTATGTATCTTACTAACACTAGGCTAAGAATATTGTTACTAATTACTCATTTATTTAATTGTATGTTATTATTGTTTCTAATTATTATTGTTGTGTGTATTTTTACTAACACTAGGCTAAGAACATTGTTACTAACAAATATGGACTAAGTCTGAAATAAAATGTATTATTATTATTATTATTATTATTATACGATAGTAAGCAATCGCCGCACTCCATGGACACCCACAACACTAGACAAGTTACTATTGCGTTGCTGGCTATTTGGGATTAGTGATTTGGGTATGGTGCGGAGAATTGGGCCTCTGGTAATCTCACTCATGCAGCGAAACACAACAGTTCGGTTGTATCACATCGGTTTTCTGTGAGGCCGTGGAATAACTCCGGTCGAGCCGGCTCATTCGTGTCGAAGGCATGGTTATCCGCTAAGAATTTAATTAATCACTTTGAAACACTGTAAACTTGAAGTCTGTACGTACAATTCTTTTCGATTGTCCAAGAAGTTTCTTCAACCGTTAAATTATCTATTGTTCTTTTATTTTTTTTTAACTTTGATTTCGTTGTTTCACTGTGCGTCGTCATTTTGTACGTTTAATCTGTTTAAATGTGCGGTAGTAGTACATTTTTGCAAGTCTCCGTAATTATTGACAGATATTGTTTCTATTGATGCCACAACTGTCAGTTAGACGATGACACGTTTCGTTACACGATTATATTTATATTGCTTTTAATTATTGTTTTCTTTAATTACTTCTTTCTACTACCTGAACTGGATTTTGTTATTAGAACATAATATTTTTGTTATTTTAAGTAGATTTTTGTTTAATAAATATTATCTGATTGCATAAAACTAAGAGATTGAAAAATGAAAAGGATAATATGAAAAAAGACTACATATTAATCGAAAATAAAAAATGCCGAAGTAAATTTTAATTAACATATTGCCCTAATGTGGTGTAATGTCATGTTTCTCTTGACACAGCTGTTAAAAATAATGCTTACTCGTTGAACACTATTAAATAGGTTTACCTATTAGACGAACATCATAATAGATGTATTAATAATAATGCAATCGAACTCGTAATGACATTTTAAGCTACGACAAAAAAGGAAAACTACATTTGTTTTTAGTTCGTGGGGGAAGCCCAGATACCAGTTTCTTTTTTATTGTTCATAAAGTTACGTATATAAAGCCTGCAATCACCAATTAAATATTCAAGCGATAAAAGGAATCTTCACGATAACTTAATGACTGTAGGTGTTTAACTATGTTCAATTATATCAATATTTTGGTGTTTTTTAGCTTGTGATTATATGTTTCTATTGTGCAGTATTTATATTGTGTATAAATATATATTGGGTCATGTTTACCGTGTTTTTTGTCATGGAATGTTCCTCTAGATTATGAATCCCTGCTGTGGTTCGAAAGTAATCAAGTTCCTCGTGCAACAGTTACGTTGAATAAGCCACGCTTCGGCACAGATGCGTCAGCTCGATCGAGCAGAAAACCGAAGTGAAACAACCGAAGCGTTGTATTTTGTCGTGAGGTTACCGGAGGCTCAATTACCCCCTCCCCAATCCCTGAATCCCCAACAATCCCGAAGGTCCTAATCCCCAAAAGGTCGGTAACGCACTTGTAACGCTGGGTGTCCATGGGCGACGTCGATTGCTTGCCATCAGGTGATCCGTCTACTCGTTTACCGGCTTATGCCATAAAAAACAGTAAAACGTAATACATTGTTTAACTTTTTGGTTTTTTTCTTAAAAACTTATTCAGTTGTTTCATGCATGTTTATATACTGTTACTAACTCATCATAGAAATATGTATTTATTTGTATAGGACAATAAATAGTAGAATTCTCACCATTATTACTAGCGACGGTCCGGTCAGACGTCGTTGACGGTGGGGTGGGGATGACGCGCTCGCCGTTCATAGACGAGTTCGCCGGAAGGGGGGACGGGATGCTGTATCTGAAACAAAAATTTCAGTTTGTATTATTTATCATTGCACCGCCTTGTTGCTACATTAAGCTAAAATATTAGTTGGTATCCAATGCTACTGATTATTTTAGTACCTATAGATCAGTAGTCGGCTATCTTTACGAGAGACCAACAGTTCATAGGGTCACAGCTTAACATTCCAAAATGTTAAGCTAAGTGAAAACCATGAAAACGACACCCATGACGATAAATTGTAAATTTCATGCAGCGGCTAAAATACATAAAAAGAAACAATCATTCAAACATAGTGCCTCCTACTTTTCTTGACGTCGGTAAAAACAAACACGCGTTAACCCTGAATAATAATCCCGAGCTACTAACATCGTTTTGTTCGCAGTTCGGGATCGGCCTACTCGCGTCTCGCCTGTCATAGCCTGCACGATTGCCCTGTCTAGACGTCTTCGTTGGACGACAGTATAGACTGTGGTAATGGTCACAGTACCTGCGATGCTCGAGCGGTACTCTCTCTGCATCCAGCAGCTCCCACTGGCGCGCGAGGTGTCGCACGCAGCGCGAGCAGGCCAGCACGCGGGTGCCGCGCGCGCCCGCG